AAGCCGATGGTAAAGAAATTTGAAATAAGAACACAAATCTTAACCTATCAAGAAACAACTGCAAATATAATAACTATAAAAGCAGTTAAAAACTCATAAATCCGTAAAATACAGTTTTTACTATACGCTAGTGAAACCAAACATATGTATGTAAATACCAAATGTAATCTTTAAAACCAAAGGCATTTCTAGGGTTTACAGCATGTATTTTGCACCCACCCTCGGCAACTATACCAGCAGTACGCTGAAATATATGCAACAGCATATACATACATACGTGTAATACTAGGCAAAACGTTCGCCTAGGGGGCCCAGGATGTTTAAATGAGTTAAGCATCTGTCCCCTCTACCCGGAAAAACTGGCACACACTAATAAAACACTACTGATGACAGCATGCTCATACATCACCACACAACACAACTCACCACAYTTCTACATCAATCAACCCACCTCACAAAAAGGCTGGGAAAAAGGATTGCGGACACTTTTTTAGCTGACAAACTGCGCCACGTCGATACCTGGCTTTCGATCCTCAACATTTCGCTCCGAAGTAGATAGATCCGGCGCGCTACGGTCAAGTCGACATTACGTAATACGACGAGCCTGCGTGATAAAATCTTTTGGGTTTACTTCTGTAAACCAATATATTGTAACGACATACTTAATTTACAATAAATTAAATACAGTGTAAATATATCAAATCGAAATACGGAAGTTTTATTTTAATCAACGGTATGGTACGTGTGTGATGTGTGTTTCCCATTACATTGGGTTCATCTTTAAACACTCGTTATTATCATGAGAAAAAGTACCTCGATGGTGAACGAAATACTTGGCTTTTGGGTATTATACATACAAACATATATACGAGTATTACAAAAATTCCCAAAATTTAATATTTGTACAGAAGAGAAATATAATAAAATACATACAAAAGCGAGAAATATCGTTGAAAGAACAATAGGAGTTTTTAAACATCGATCTAGATGTCTTCTGGCTTTACTACGAGCCATGGAAGCCATCTCAAAGCGTTAATGTTGCGGCAGCGTTACACAACGTTTGCATTCACTATAGCGTGAATGATGAAATTTTCGAAAATAATTCGGGTCCAAATATTTTTACAGAAAGTAATGAAATTCTTTAATTAATGATTCAGTTTCAAAAATCAAAGAAGCTATATTTGCAAAACTTCGACGAATATAATATCCTAAATAAATTTATTTAATTAATTTACTTATTTTTTGTCATGGCTTGCAATTTTTTTTCTTCTACCTCTAACATTTGCTGTTTAATGGAATTCTTAGCAGCTACCAAATTCTCCATAGCTATGTTGTGCCTTCTAAATTCTTCCACTTCCGGTTTTTTTTAAAGTCATTTTGCATTTCCAATGACGTAATGAAAGGTCGTCCAACTTATCAAGAACCTTTTCCTGGAATTCTGTTTGAATTGCAAGTTGTTCTATAAGTAAATCGGCTGTACATGTTTCCGGTGGCCTAGTAGTACTTCTAGGCAGTGCTGGATTGCAGGTCACTGATGGCATCGATACGTCGGCCTCTGTCTCATTGCCCACGTCGTCTGCAATAGGTAAGCCGATACTCTCTGTATTCGCAATACCACTTGTACTTGTTTCCAATACCGTTAGTATTATCACCGCTTCCTCCAATTCATTGAAATGGTGCTGCCTATTTCTGTCGCCACCAGTAGCTGACTGCTCCTTTTTATTTTCAACCAATTTTCTTTTTATGTAGGCCTTCCAGTCAGTCAAGCCATACCTAACAAAAAATAAGTCAAACAAGCTTTAAACTATCCTGTTACAACAATAAAATCTACAACTTTATTATATTACCTTCTTCCAGCTGGAAATATCCTTGATAGGCGGACCAAAACTGTTGAGTTCTTGGGCCATATTGTTCCAAAAAGCTGCCACTTCTCCTTTAGGGTACTTGGTAAAACCCTGCGCCATTTCAGGTTTTTGCTGTAACAGCTCAACCATTAGTGCGTACTGTTGCTTGGTGGTAATTACTTTGGACCTGCGGAAATCGCATTAAATATTATTTTAATGATAAAAAATGTGTTATAGTTTGAATTCAATTAAAACTTACATTTCTCTTTTTTTAAATTTATTTCTCCGTTAGCACAAACCTGTCGTACAAAAATTCCGATAAACTTAAAAATTTTCCGTTCCGAGTGAATTCAGTGAATGCAACTCTACGAATTTCGAACTTACTTTCGGAACTGTTCGAATTGCATGATAGCAGTTTCGTAACTTTCCCGAAATAACAGTCTACGATGGATTGCGTGGTAGGGCTGAATGCCTTTGACCAGCATCTTGTCTCTTGGCAAATTTCGAGATTTTGTGTTTCGGGAGCTGCTGTTGCAACTAAACCCGTGCCTTTTCTTGAGAATGCGTTACTTTGATGTGTATTGGGAGACATGGTGTAATGTAACATGGAATGATGTCCTTTATGACAGTATACGCAGTTGAATTTGCATTCGCAATTAGTAAGAGTGTGCGCGTGGGACAAGCAGTTTGTGCAGAGTCTTTTTGACCTGACAAAGTTGTTCCTTTCGTTTATATTTATTTTTTTAAACTTCTCGCAAGTTTTGAGGTTATGCCCTCCTGTACATATTGTTGTTGTTATTGACTTGGGGTCTATTGAAGCTTCTGTTTAGGTCGGGTTGAAAGTTTTTAGTTYTGACTGTTTTTTTATCTACCCTTTCCGCAATTTCATATTGGGCAGTTAAGAAATCTTTCATTTGCTGCCMCGTTGGGCAGTCTCTTCTTGATGAGAGCGATTGCTCCCAAAGAAGTAATGATTTTTCTGGTAATGCTGCGGTGCATATGTTTACCAGAATAGGGTCCCAGCTGTCTGTGGGAACCTTTTGTGTCGTTAGAACCGACAAACAATTTGAAACAGTGGATTCTAATTTTATGAATTCTTCACTGGTTTCTTTTTGAATTTTCGGCAAGTTCATGAGTATCGTTACTTGCTTGWCGACCAATATTCTTTTGTTTTCGTATCTAGCTTTTAGAGCTTCCCAARCCAAATTGAAATTGTCATCACTTAATGCGAACTGTTTTACTATTACGCCTGCTTGACGTTTTGTTTTGTATCGGAGATGATACAACTTTTGTGCTTGTGATAGTTTTGGATGGTTTATGTACTCGGCAGTAAACATGTCCCGGAAGGAAGGCAATTGTTCATAACCTCCATGAAATATTTCTGTATCGCATGCTGGCACTTTGAGGTGAATGCCAGAACTTGCTTCTTGGGCTTGTATTTGTGGCAGCTCTACTCTTGAATCGTGGGTAGGCGCGATTGATTTAATAAGTTTTAGCTGATCTGCGATCATAATTTTTGTATCTTCATACTGGTCTAAGCAGTTTTCAAATTTGGCGTAAGCAGAAGATTTAAAGTTTGCTGGTGGATCTGAATCGTCAGTATCTACAATTGCGTCAAATGCAGCTTGGAGACGTATCCAAAAATTTTCAATTGTTTTKTGTTTTATTTCTAGCGCGGATTCAGAATTGTCTTGAATGTATGTTATGTCTTTCCCCCTCTTGTGTTTTGTAGCACCTTGCTTAGAGCGTGTAGCTTCTGCAGGTGTACATGGACTCTTATCGTCAGAAATCATTTTTGGAATATTCAAGAATGGAGATTTTTTAGATTCTTTTGAGTCTATATTCATTTAGAAAATGTAAATTTGTAAAATATTTGTATATATTTTCTTACGGTGTATACTGAGAACTGAGAACAACCGAAACTCTTTTAGGTAAATAAGAGTTTTTATTTCCGATAAAATT